TAAATTGGTCAAAAACGGATATAGAGGGTCTTCAGCGGAAAGTAAGAACACTTCTCACAAAGGCGCAAAAACATCATCCACGCAGTGCAGTAGAGAGAACAACATTGCCGCGGTATCAAGGAGGAAGAGGACTTATGGATATAGGTAAGTAATTGGATAAAAAAATTGTTAATTTAAGAACTTATTTTCAGGTACAGGCTGGGACATCTACTTTACATCGAGCAATTTGCGCAGTAGATGATAATACGCTGCTTAAACTGAGGGAACAAGAAATGCGTATAAACCATCTGACTAAGCAAGAAAAAATGCGCATCTGGATAAGTAAACATCTGCATGGGCGACATCTCAATGAGATCAGCCAAGAATATGTCGAAAATACAGCGTCGAACTATTGGTTGATATCAGGAAAGATGTTTCCTGCGACTGAGGGTTTCCTACTTGCCATTCAGGATCAGGTTATTCCAACTAAAAATTACCTGAAATATATTGTTAAAGATCCTCAAGTCCAAAATGACAGATGCCGATATGGATGCCAAGCCCAAGAAACCATTCAACATCTTACCGGGAGCTGCCAGGCGTTTGTCGGAACTGATTATAAAGAACGCCATGACTCAGTAGGAAAGATTATCTACCAAAAAATAGCTGGGCCTTCTCCAAACCGAACATCTTCTTTATTATCAATATGTCCCTGAAAGAATGCTTGAAAATGACAACTACAAGCTACACTAGGACCGCACTGTGCTCACAGATCAACCAGTGGCGATCCTCAAGTCCAAAATGACAGATGCCGATATGGATGCCAAGCCCAAGAAACCATTCAACATCTTACCGGGAGCTGCCAGGCGTTTGTCGGAACTGATTATAAAGAACGCCATGACTCAGTAGGAAAGATTATCTACCAAAAAATAGCTGGGCCTTCTCCAAACCGAACATCTTCTTTATTATCAATATGTCCCTGAAAGAATGCTTGAAAATGACAACTACAAGCTACACTAGGACCGCACTGTGCTCACAGATCAACCAGTGGCACATAATAGACCGAATTTCATACTAGTTATTAACTTACCACGCAAACGACACTTATTGATGTGGCGATACCCAACACCAATAATTTATGTGTTAAATACCACGAAAAGATCGCCAAGTATAGAGATCTAGAAATACAAATCAGGAGACAATGGAGAATGGAAAGTACCCAAACAGTACCTATTGCTCTATCTACTACTGGTGTTATTCCCAAAAACCTCCCTGCAAACATAAAACATAAAACAGCTGGGTCTAAATGAACATCTTTATAAGGCTATGAAGAAAGCTGTACTCCTTGCGACGTCCAGATGTGTACGAGTGTGAGCCGTGTGGCTAAATCTGAATAATGATAATCAGGCCCCCGTCATACAATCAGCTCCAGCCTAACAACAAGAAGAACCGCAAGTGAGCCAAACAATTAGTGCTCCACTAAATGGACTGTGTCTATAAACGAAAACATTTGGCGCTTCTATTACAAGGTGGCAAACCTCGGTCAAGAAACGATCGGCTATCGACAACAGCTTTATGACGAATATTGTAGGGAGTAACCAGATATTCAAGTATCTGAACAGAGAATAGCAGATCAATACTGGGTAATTTTTAGAAATAATCTTATCCCAGAAACTAGATGAGATATCATTAGAAGCGAAGTCAAACAAGTCGGGAAAAATGCTGAATTTAAACTTTCACATTGTTCACATGTTCCATCTTGCTAGAGGTTGATCTGGATATCACTTCCATATATCAGTTTTACATTTCTGATACAAAACTGGGTAAAAGGGTCAAGGTCCGAAAGATACCTGCAATGTACATTTCGTAGATAATATATGGACTGCATCATTCCCCCCAATACCGGAATCAACTTAGTAATACGCTGATAATTACGTACTTAATAAACACACCGCTTATTTACATAGTCCCAAACGTGATACTAACGTAATTACTAAATGTGCTATACTTACTGAGGAATAGTTAGTTGTGACCGAGTTTAGTGAATACTTACCGTATAGGTTTATTTATTTCGTGTGATGCGATATCGCAAAAGTACCTACTAATTGACGGACTTAAAGAGCATAACGTAAGTTTACCGCTAAATATTTCACACATACTAAGCTTAAACACAAAATCTGTAATGATATAAACACAGTTACTTAAATACTTTAAAATAAACGTTTAATCCATCATCCTTAACTTTTAAAACATTTGTGGTAAAAAGGTTACCTAATGTCATCGCCTCTTTCTGAGCACACACACACACACACACACACACACACACACACACACACACACACACACACACACACACACACACACACACACACACACACACACACACACACACACACACACACACACACACACACACACACACACACACACACACACACACACACACACACACACACACACACACACACACACACACACACACACACACACACACACACACACACACACACACACACACACACACACACACACACACACACCACACACACACACACACACACCACACACACACACACACACACACACACACACACACACACACACACACACACACACACACACACACACACACACACACACACCACACACACACACACACACACACACACACACACACACACACACACACACACACACCACACACACACACACACACACACACACACACACACACACACACACACACACACACACACACACACACACACACACACACCACACACACACACACACACACACACACACACACACACACACACACACACACACACACACACACACACACACACACACACACACACACACACACACACACACACACACACACACACACACACACACACCACACACACACACACACACACACACACACACACACACACACACACACACACACACACACACACACACACACACACACACACACACACACACACACACACACACACACACACACACACACACACACACACACACACACACACACACACACACACACACACACACACACACACAACACACACACACACACACACACACACACACACACACACACACACACACACACACACACACACACACACACACACACACACACACACACACACACACACACACACACACACACACACACACACACACACACACACACACACACACACACACACACACACACACACACACACACACACACACACACACACACACACACACACACACACACACACACACACACACACACACACACACACACACACACACACACACACACACACACACACACACACACACACACACACACACACACACACACACACACAACACACACACACACACACACACACACACACACACACACACACACACACACACACACACCACACACACACACACACACACACACACACACACACACACACACACACACACACACACACACACACACACACACACACACACACACACACACACACACACACACACACACACACACACACACACACACACACACACACACACACACACACACACACACACACACACACACACACACACACACACACACACACACACACACACACACACACACACACACACACACACACACACACACACACACACACACACACACACACACACACACACACACACACACACACACACACACACACACACACAAACGCGCCGCGCGCGATAACGTATTATATCAAGAAATATACAATTAAAATATGTCTTTAAAATACGTCAAAAAACTTATATAACAGAAGTAATTTACAATTTAAACAACAAAACAGTCACATAATTATATTAAAACCGATTTATTACCCAGTTTTTTAACGAATTTACCGTGCATTTTTAAACAATGTAAAGTATTAGAAATATAATCATAAAGGTAAAACAAAAATATGCATAATTATATATTTCGATAAAGAGATTATATTATAAAAGTAGAGCGATTACCGGTTTTATGATTCCTTTTCCAGTCCCCGATATATTTATCTTTGGCAGTATTAAAAACTGTATGTCTTAATCCATCCTTTAAAGTTCTTTCTTCCATTTGTTTCGTCCGCAAAATTTTCGTTTTGTCAAATCTGTTAAAAAACGGCATTTTTACTTCACAGTCGTTTGCAATGAATCGATATTTGAAATTTGAAATATGCAGTTTGTTAAATCGATGTTCGAACACTTCATCTTTGTTTTCGCTGAAAAAAAAAACTAGATGATTATTCCATCAATTCTAAACAGTGGAGGGGTAATATTTCATTGTTAGAGGGCGAGAACTCTACTTTATGAAATTTAATAATTATATAATAAATATAACCTATATTTGCAGTATCTTTCAAGTATCTGAGATCTTTTAATATAATTTTATTTCTTCTTAATCAGGTTATTACATAAGTTGATAACAGTGCAACAGATAAATCAAATTTCAGTTTTGGATCAATAGGAATTTGAGAATTATTACAGAGTATTCCATACCAAATTTTCTTATACATTATGAATGTAACTTAATTATTTCTAGAACATCCACTTATCTATAATAAGCAATTTCTAAACTAAAAAAAGCTTAATTCATAGATAGGTACTTATTTTTTTAATCTTATTATCTTAAATTTTGAATTTAGACATGGGCTTATCTTATTTCATTTATTGAATCACGATTTCGACGAGCTATTATTATATCCTCTAGATGTATTAGTAAATATACAGATTTATTTGCATCCATTATTTAATATTAAAAACTGTTTAATATTAAGCTATTTAATATAAAATAACGACAAAATTGAGAGAATGGTTTTAAAAAATAAAAATTAAACTTCACACACTTGACATATTAGTTGACACATTAATTATTCCTTTTATACATTTCGATTTATGAAATATTTTGTTTAATTATAAATGATATAATTTATAATATGTTTATAATAAATGATTTGAATCCTGTTCAAATCTGGTTCAAATGTATCAGCATTCAGCATTGGTATTATAGCACATGCGTATGCGCACTGCATAGTGAATTTCGATTGTGTCAAAGTCAAAGTCACAGCAATAAGCAATAAAGTAAAGATGGTTGCTAAAAGACGAGGGAAAAGGAAAAGTGGCTCAAAAGACTTACTATTCGAAGTCAGTGACAATGATGTATCCACAGATGATTCTGAAACTGAGTGTAATGGACCAGAAAAGAAAATTTTAAAGACTGATTCAAATTTTATTGAGTCTGTGGTAAATGCTCTTTCTAACCTAGAAAATGAGAAGAAAGAAAAAGAAACAAACTGCTCCAAAACAGAAGTTATCGAAATTTTAGATGAAAGCAGCAAAGGGAGCGATAAAGCTGGTAATGATAGTGATAATTCGATAATAGTTGTAGAAGATAAGTCTTTTGTTGAGAATGAAGATTCTGCTAATCAAAGCACCCAGAATAATTCAGAATGCACTGCATGTATCCAAGACCAAGACGACGATTCACCCTTGGTGATATCACGGACTTTTATAGAGTGTTGTGACAGTGGTAGTCCAAATAAAGTTGAAGAAGCAGGTATGTACTGTGTAATTATATTTAGTAAATTTTCTTTCTACCTCTTGAAAAGAGTCTAAACTCTTTTCAAACTACATTTAGAATATGTAGTTTGAAAAGAGTTTAGACAAGCACAATAGTTTTTGTGTGCAGCACAATTTAGTGCTATAATCGCCAATTAAAGCACTAAATCTGGAAATTGCATTACAGAGCTGGTATTTTTTACATGACTCACCAATTGTGATGTTTAGTTGACTGAACACTATTTGAAATAGCAACATAAATCAAGTGTCATATTGAAATTGTGTAGCTGTCTAAATTAATTAGATTTTGTTCTATCATATGGTTCTCCATACATTCTAACTACAGCAAAGTTAGAAATATTTACAGCTACAAAGTTCTATGTCTGGTATGTACCTCTTTAAATTTCTTGTAGTGTACATACAAATCAGAGATTCTTGTTTATTGTCTTACTATTTATTTTACTACCTGTATAAGCTTAGAGTAAAAGCCAATTTATTGACCAGTTTTAACTTTGTTTTTTCTTTATTAATGGATTCTTGTATCCAATACAAAAAAGTTTACAATAATTATAATCTAGTCAAATGTACAAATTTTCGCTATAGTAATTATAATCAATAGTAGTGTCCAGGTACAATGTTTTAAATTATTACTTCATTAAATAAAACAACAACATATTTGTTAACCCTTTAGCAGACAGGTGAAATAAATTTACTACACAATATTCAATAGCATATATTCAGAGAAATAAATAAGCATATAAAAATTCTCCACGTTTTCCACAATTTGCTTCTATTTTTAGTTTACAAAGTCTACACAGAAAATATTGATAATCAAATTTAGTCAGCACATTCACTACAGCATGGTATTATCTTATGTAGAATACACAACACTTACAGAATTTATGAAAATATCTTTGTTTTCTGCAATATTTGCAAGGACTTTTTTGTTTGGACAGGTGTTGGGTCCTCTTCCAAAATAATTTTCCTATCCTATCTCACTCCAGTCCCTTGACATGGGATTTACTTTGCTGTATATTTGTATGCAACATGCAACTAAATGCTAAATGTACTATATAACATACTGTACTAAATTTAGGGGAACTACAGAGGTAATTTTCTATCCAGTGCATATAGATGGCACATAAATTTATTAAAAAAAATACATGATTTGGTTGGGTGGATAGGTTGCCCTATCTGTCTAGGTTGAACATGAATGTTTAAACTTGCCACAATCTCAGAGCAATGAATAAAGTTATTAACGAATTTAAAAATAAAGACTCAAACCTATATCCTATCTTGAAGTTTTTGTAATTTTATCATAGTTCCAAGATTATGAAAATTTATTTTGAACTATGGAATAGCTAATTTAAAAACATGTAGGTGTGCTTAGGGTCAGTTTTTTAGGTTATAAATATGAGTGGGCACTTTAATACCCTTCCACTCAACCTAAGCCTTTTTAGCAAAGGCTATTATGACCTTAGGTGATACTTCTAGAAAGCTGTAGGGCTCAAGTTGGCAATTCACACTTTCTGTCAGTCCGATTTTGTTCATGTGCGTTGAACCAACATTGACACCAACCTGGGAGCCAACTTTGGGTCAGTTGTGTTCCCACGTTCGCTGAGGCATCCACACATTGGGTTGAGTTTCGGGGCGATATCAATCTGTTCCTCTAGAGCCAACGTCAGAATGTCTGACATGGAAATTGCAGCGGCTCCGACTGTCGCGATAATGAGTGCATAAGCTTATATTTTGCTACAAAAAAGGCAAATTTTATGTCATTTTGTCTACAGTGTTACTTAAAGGTGTTAGATCTTTAGAGATGCCGTATTTGGCAACTGCAGACTAACTATATGAGTGTAAACCTGACGTCGAGGCTCTGAATCTCATTTATTCTTATATTAACCCAACTCCTAAATTTCTTAGCTTTCTATTTCAGCTATATTCTGCATCAAACCTGACTTTAATCCACAGCTGATAATATGGAAGTACATATTTTAAAAGTTATATGACCACACGACAGTGGTCTATTATGACAAAATGATCTATATTTCAAAATTAAAAGCATATGCTTTTGTAAAATGTTTAGATAAGTACAATAGACATGCATATTATTTATTTATGTAAGAAATAGCCTTTTGAGAATAAACCTTATTCTGATAGATTACTGACGTGTATTGGAGTGTTAATCAACAGAAGTGGCTCAGGTGACTGAATGTCAATTTTTACATGTTGTAACTTTGTTTTTTAATGCCGTCATGGAATGGAAATTTTCTTTGATAAAGTAATTTATTTATTTAAGAGAATACTGTGTAAAATGGCAGCACACATATTATAAAAGAAAAAAGAAGGCAAGGGCTCTTTTTATAAACTGTGGTTTGTCATTGATTTATTTTTTTTTGTTTTGCTAGATTGTGCAAAATTAGGTATCTGATTTTATGCAAGATGCGAAAATTGCGCGCCAACAGTTAAATTAGGCGCAAATAGCATAATTTAATGCTGATTGGAACACTGCTTTGGCGCCAATCCCTTTTATGTGTATGCAAAAACCGACAGTCCACGGAAAACTCCCAACAGTGGAGCAAGTCATAAAAACGTTGGCCCCAACAGTGTCTCCAACACAGTTTTGTCGGTACATACATTGGACGAACGCTGTTGGGACCAATGTTGGCCCCATGTGTGGAGCCAGCATTAGTCTTCTTTCTTTTAAGTTTATCTCGAGGGCATTCCAGGATCTGTTCTTCTGCTACTTTGAAGATGTCATTTTCAGGGGTACTTTTAATGGCCTCCTGAACATCCATTTTTTCTTTATTTTTACTATGGGATCCATACTGTTCGCACAAGTAAGTAGCTAGGTAATAAATGTCCACTCGCTCAGAGCCCTGCTTTAACAATAAGACTTCATACAACCGGAGGTCACCTGGTATCTGGACTGAACCTGGGTTTGATACCATTTATCATGTGGTCATGCCTCCTTCAGCACAGTGTCTCACACTTTAAAAAAAAAAGTTTTATTTTGCTGGTTTTCTTCATCAGTTTTTAATGAGGTGAAGGTTGTCTCCTAGAGATGTAGGTATAGCGGGAAGAAGGATGAAGGATAGATTACCTTTTCTTGGTCATACTCGGAATGTAGGATAGATACATATAATGGATATCATCGTATCTAAATGTTTATATATGTTGTCGATATGGGTAGCGCCATATACTGGAGATGTGGCTGTGAAGGTCAGATGGCCTGCTAATTATCTGTTTATACTTTCCATTGCCAGGCGTAGCCTGTTTATAGTACAGTTTTCCAAAATGAAGGGGGTACCTTCATTCAACTGGGAACTCCTTATTAGGGAGATCCCATTCATTCCCACATACTTGCTCCATTTCCTGCCCCAGACCACAGCCCTATCTGAACAGTCATCTTAAGCCCCCTAACTTATGTCAAGCCACTTTCAAGCTTTGCAGCCACTATTGGGGAGGGGCTACAAGAGTAGGTGTTATATAAAAAGTTTTTAGTGCATAAATGTTGGTAAAACAGACAGACATTGAGAGGAAACAGTTGATTTGGTATGGTCATGTTCAAAGAATGGAAGACACAAGACTACCCAAGAAGATTATGCAGTGGGTACCACCAAACCGCAAAAAACGAGGAAGACCCAAGAAGACATGGAAAGAAGGGGTAACTAAAGCAATGAGTACAAGAGATCTTAGAGACGGCCAATGGGATGATAGAAGGACGTGGAAGTTAGGCATCGGACAACGTCGAAAGACGTTCTAAAACCGGTATATATAAAATGTTGGTAAAATCAAAATTATAACTCTTAACAAAAACAAGCACTTGTAAAGCTTCCAACATATACTCACTAGAGACAGTCTTTCAATTACTTTCATTGCTCTGAGCGTGAGCTGTGTACTGACAGAGAGAGTGAATAGAACCTACATGGTGTCTCTCTTGCACCTCATATCTAGGGTTCAGCTTTTGTACAGGAAAGTAGAGGAGTTTGAGACCAATTTGAGATTCGAGAGATATAGCATGTCATTTTATTTGCTTTCTCTCTTGCGACACTCGTCTCGTGCTCAAAGTGTGAATGCTGCCTCTATTTAATATATGTTTGAAATGCCTTTGTATGTTCTCCAAATGTTAATTTTGAGATGAAATACATTCCCAAATCAGAGTCCACTTTTTTAAGTTTTTCTTGATGTAGTATCTATTATTAGGGGCTCGAATTTCTTGAAAACTGTACATGTTTGCATTTTTTAATATTAGATTCTTGCTAATATGGGCCTCTAGGACAAAAAGCTATAATATGGCGTTTTCTTAATATTGAAATACTTATTTCTTTATTAGAGGACTGTAAAATAAGTCAGGGTTCTTAGTTGATGATAAATTTTGATAACTATTCCAAAAATCAGCATGTAACCTTACTATTGTGTGAAAAGTTGGATCATATACCTAGTGGGTTGAGCGTGGTAACATTCAGACTGATTCACCAAATAGTTTAAATCTTAACTAAATTGTTTATCCCAAATAACTTTTTTGCATTATTGTAAAACAAAAAAAAAATAGTTAGAATAATTCTACAGTTATGTTTTGAAGAGGTTATTGAAATAAATAAAAAAAAAACAGTAAAGAAAGTTTATTTTTATTGGAATTTTTTTTATTCCACCTCTCATGTAAATGATTTTTCAGGATGACTAAATTATTATTATTATTATTCAGATTTAGCCATACGGCTCACACTTCCTCTAAGGGAAAAATTAACTTATCCCAGATACCTACGGTTACAAAAGGATTGAGCTCTGGTGGGACTCTTTCCATGTTATCGAGTCTTAGGTGACTTAGGTGACTTTCTACGTCGGTATATCTCCTAAAAATTTTTGCACGCATCTGGACGTCGAAAGTAGCATAGTTTTCTGCATGACCTTATATAGATGTTCATTTAGACCCAGCTTTTTTATGTTTTCTATTAGGTTCTTCCGAATGACTCCAGTGGTAGAAAGAATAATAGG